TAATAAATTTTAAATAGAACTACGGAAGTGAACTCTCAAGAGGGTTTCAGAATAAGTAGGACAAAAAAAATTAGTGTACAAAGCGTAACACTTGTAAAACTTTAATCACCGAATGGAGATAATAGTAGGAAAAAAGCAACAAGTATGAGTTCCCTTTCTTGAAGTTCAGCATGATAGAGGGATCATAAACAATAATGCTCATAGAAATGTAAGTTTGGAAAACATACTTTTACTGTGTGATTTGCATACCCTTCTCTCAGAAAGAAAAATTTTACTGTGTAATTCTTAGATCAGAAACTTGACGACTAAGAAAACTATATCCAAATATTAGTGTAATGTGGATAAAAAATGTTGAGATAGAATGTTGAGATTGATGGCTGGTGTTACATATATATTTATACATATGAAAATAGTTAGCATTTAGGATGAGGAACCTCAGCTCCAAAGAAGGATAAGACAGAAATGTCTGAGACAATGTGGAGATGTCTGATGTAAACCTTACAAATACCAACACAAAATAGCTTAGAAAAAGGGAGAGATGGATTAAGCAGTGAAAAGGATTGCATAGCAATTGCACAATGGAAGGATGTTGCTACATGCACATGAGCTTGCATGTAAGCATAAATAATGAAGTTCAACTTTTAAATTTATTTGCTCAAATTAGCACCAACAATCAACAAGTGTAAGTAACTATTTGTGATGGATAGTCAAGATTCCATATGAAGGATTTGATAGTTTAGAGAGAGGAGCATTCATTTCCTGCTAAGCACTCACCACATGCCTCCAGGCTCCATATCAAGAGTTTGATAATTGAGAGAGGAGCAATCATATCTTATGAACTCACCATTCACCTCAAAGCAGTATGTGACTAGCTTCCTAAAAGTTTACCTCCCCATTCACCTCTATCATGAAATTCATGTAGACAACAGGATACCTCATAAACAAGGGCAGAGGCAAAAAAATCAGAATCAAAATTCCTTGAAGCATGAGGAAGTAAAAGAACAAGAACTGGAGTTGATAAGAAGGCACTTTCTCATGGATGCTTTAGAAGTTTGAGATTATGCACATCTGCAATGTGGAGATACCAAGTAGGCAAGCTGATGTCCACGATTTTGATTTATTTTTCTTTTCAATAAAGGTTACTATTCAAGGGGGATTTTTGCAAATATAGTAAGTTGTCACATTGAAACATCTTCTACATTTCTATTTTGCATTCTCACAATCCTTAGGTAGAAGAAAAAGGAAACCAAACAGAAAAATAGGAAATTTCCAAATTTGAACTTCAATAAGGATTTCAGCCCTACAACAAAGTTGAAGCCTGATTAGAGACTCTTCAAATAAGTCTACTCAATTAAACATATTGTAAAAATAAAGATTATCTACCAACATAAATTTGAAAGCACCCTCCCCAAAAAAGGGTAGGTTGATGAATCTTAATCCAAGGGTTGTATTTCTCTCGATTATAATTTTGTTTATTCTTTTAACTTTTCTTCTTGAATCTAGAGAGTTTATTAAAAGGAGAAAAGGATTGTAATATGGATCATTGCAGAATGATTAAATGAATTAATTTTCTTTTTTACCACATTATACGAGAGTGGTGAAAGGCACATCCCTATGACCGCTCTTTGTGGTGCTATTATTCTACATCTTGTTGGTGTCGAAGCATTCAACATGTCAAACTTCTAAGGGGTTTTAGAACATCTGATGATTCATTAAATTTTAGGGTTAAATAAATTTTACATAATAAAGTTTGCCTAAGTAAAAGAAGGAACATTCAGTTTTACAAGAAGGAATTCAAGGGTAGCTCTTGATTAACTAATTAAGAGTTCAGTGAGATGTTAATAATTCTATAAAAGTGTGACACAACTGTGATATATTTAAGTATCAACCAAGTTACAAATGTAGATATTAAGGCATACCCAGTGATTTAAAAAGCGCTAGGCGCCAAAAGGCACCAAGGTCCAAAAACACCCAAGGTGCTAGGGGCTCGCCCGAGCGAAGCGAGACGCTAAAATATAAAAATATATAATATAATTATTTAAATAAAAAATATGTTATTAAATTAAGAAAATCGAGTACAAAATCACAATGTCATATTAATAAAAAGTCTCAAAAATCAAAACAATAAAATTTTACATCAAATCTATTGAGTTGCTCTGTACACTTTCCATTAATTCTGAAACCTAACAATAATTTTAAATAAATAAAAATTAATAATATTAAAATTAAAATAATATATTATTAATCTAATAAATAAAAATACTATTATTAGTATACAGTTAGCAATATACTGTTAATATACTGTTAACAGTATAGTGAGAAGAGTGTGAGAAGACCGAGGCTGCTAAGGCAACGACAGCGGTAGCGGGAGTGGCGAGCGATAGCGGGAGTGGGAGTGGGAGCGGGAGCTGCGAGCGGCGAGCGACGACAACAGCGATGAGCGATGATTGTGGTAGCGGCGAGTAGCGACAATAGCAGCGACAGTGGCAGCAGAGAGCAACGACAACGGAGAAGAAATCTCAACAGCAAAATCGCGAGTGTTAGGGTTGGGGAAGTCGGAGAAATCGTGAGAGGGAGCCTATCGGTGATTTAGTTGGTTCGATTGAACCAACTAAAGCACCGGAGACCGAACTAGACGTAAAACACTAGTTCGGTCGCCTGGTTTAACCCGGGCGCTCGCCCGAAGCGCCCGGCGCCTGGGCTCGGGCGAGCGCCTAGGCGATGCCTCGTTGAAGCTATGCGCTTGGACATGAAGCGAGGCGCTCGGGCCTCGCCTCACCTCGCCCGAGCGCCTATTGAAATCACTGGGCATACCCAAATTATAGTAAATATATGCTGTACATAAAACAGTACACATAAATGTGTTGTTATATACAGGACCATTAAACATCATTATTTTCATAATCTTCTCATTTTGCTTTCTTTCCGAATTGACATTTAAAACATGCATTGTTATAGATATTGTAGATTTAAGGACACATATAAGTATAATAACAAAAAGTAGTAGAAAAGACAACTAAACCTGCAGATGGAACCTCTTCCCATTCAACGTCATCATTTTCATAATCTTCACGTTTTGCCTTTTTGCCAACTTGGCGTTCAGAATATGCTTCAAGAACACCATCCAGAAGGTCAGACTGACTTCTTTCTGCCTCTCGTTGCATTCTTGAAGCTTCTTCCTGCTCTTTCTGCCTTTTCAACAAAGCTGCATAATAGGCCTTGAGATACTCATCCTAAAAAGCATAAAGGTAACCATTTTATGAGAAACAATTCATCAACATAAAATTTGGAACGAATTACTGGAGTTTTTTTTTTACTAGCCTGTATGCTCTTTTCGTCTTCTTTTACATCTTTTGATTTCTTGTCATCACCATAAGTTGAAACGTCATCTACTTTTACCGCATCTCCTCTTTGTTCTTTTGTTAGACTCATTCCTTCTTTAATCATCCAAGGAGGTATAACCTTCAAGGCTGAAGTCTTTGTGTCAGACTCATTGTCTTCTCCCTTCACTTCCATACCAGATAAAGCAACTTCAACCTGCAGTAGACTATAACAGTCACCAAAATATGAAGAAATATATTCTTACTAGAATGACACATTGACAACCCAAAAGAAAACTTTCGTAGAAGATTCTATACAAAATGAGTACTTAATTGATATTTGCAGGACCAAGAACAAAAAGGATGGAAAATTCAGAAGAAAGAGCCCTAGGCATTCCTGCTATAACCTTGCAGTCAGGAAGGTTATAGCAGGAATGCCTAGGGCTCTTTCTTCTTTGATATTTTCCATCCTTTTTGTTCTTGGTCCTGCAAATATCAATTAAGTACTCATTTTGTATAGAATCTTCTACGAAAGTTTTCTTTTGGGTTGTCAATGTGTCATTCTAGTAAGAATATATTTCTTCATATTTTGGTGACTGTTATA